TTTATTTATTTATTTAAATTTAGCACAGAAAGAAGTGAGAGAAGAGGAGGGTAACATCCACTGAAAGTCTATAGTGTGCCTGGCATCTTACAGGCATTGCTTCTTTAATATTTACTACATCTCCATGTGGCAGTGCTAGGAAGTATGAGGTAAGGATTCTTATCATCCCTTTGCATATAAGAAGCTGAGGTTCAGTGAGATTAAATAACTTGCTCAAGATTGCTCAGCTATTAACTGACTTTAAAATTTTCTGTTACCGATAGAACAAATTGTCCAGCTAAGAAACTAGTGAAGGCTGGAAATGAAAATGCAAGGGGATGTAGAGATGCCCCAGTAGGGAATGCAAGACAGAGCACAGCCCAGGGCCACTTAATTTGCTTTCCACTTTTCCTTGTACGACCATCCTTGAGTACCACACCCACATACAGTGTGCAAGGGCATGGCAGGTCAAACTCAAAACAATTGAAATCAGATATCTCAGATTATTGCTGAGGTGTTTCCATAGATTGTAAGCTAATTTACAGTGTTTAAACTGAAATTTCTTTTTGGAATTTGCTGACATGTAATGTTTCTGAACTATCACATATGCTAGACTGGTAATAGGTGCTGGGGAGGAAATCCATGCTACAGGCCCTGCCCTCAAGCAGCTTTTCCACTATATGAACACAGTACATGTCTCTAAGGAGATGATTCATGATCATTTCCAACAATATGTAGGCAGCTTTATATAGGAATGCATAGAAAGAACACTATTCCCATGATACCAAGGAAGCTGAGAGCATAAGGAATGGATTTCTGTGAGTAGCTGGTTGGTAGGTGAGACTCAAGGAGGAAGCAGGGAGCGTGTATCTCCTGACAGGGAGTGAGAGCAGTGGGAAGATATATTCTCTGCTCAAAGGATCTAAGGGAGACTGCACAGTTGGAGAAATGCCTATGGTGTGTGGTTAAGCATGAGGTATGGAGGAAGATTCCTCTCTGACTGACTGATTATGTGTTTCTGATCAATTTATTCATCCCCTCCATGCCTCGTGTACATACATCCATTCTCATCTGTGAAGTGGGGAATAATAGTGTTCCTTTCTAGTGTAATAGGATTCAGTGAGACAATAAGTGCATGAAAACACTTAGCATACTGCCTGACAGATATTAAATAGTGACTAAATTGATGGCTGTTTTCATTACTAATGATTTTAGATGTCTGGCTAAGGCAAAAAAATTCTCTTGATGTCCTGTCCATTGCCTAACAAAGTTATTTGTGTTTGTAACTATCAGTTTGCTAGGGAAGAGCAAGGCTTTTGCACTGGCATTTTGCCTGAAATTTGGAAATCCTAACTCATATTTGAACAACTTAAAATGATTGCACTTCAATTAAAAATATAAAAAAAAGAGAGAACCAACAATAAAAAGAATCATAAAATATAAATTCTAAGGAAGATGCTTAAATGCAGATCACTGCTGTTAATAGACTAGGGAAAGGTAATGAATATTTAAATAGTATTGTCAAAAAAATGGGCACAAATATATAATTACAGCTCTGATGTGGAAGGCCAAATTGAAGTTTTCTGAGCAACAGGACCTCTGTTAAACAGTCAAGTGTGCATTGATGCTTGAGCCGGCTGCTCTCAGCTCCCCTCCAAACTCACTGAATTCCTGCCATTTCAGACAAACTGTAGACATGGTGTTAACTTAAATGGTACTCAGGAAAAAAAATGCACATGCTGTGTGTGGATAAAAGCCCAAGTTCTTCCTCTTTTTATGAGCCGCCAAATCTGTCTGCTGGTGTTTACATTAACAGAGGAATGTGATATTAATATTTAGCTCACTCTGCAGAAATATGCATTTATATGGGGGTAATTTCAGTGTTCAGGCTCCAGACAAGATCTCTGTCTCTGTGTATTTCTTGCACACGTGCACACACACACACACACACACGAAGAATGTTTTTAGTTCACATGGCTGGGAAATTTAATTCGAAGAGTAACACATGGCCTGCAGAAGGAGGGATCTGCAGAATGGCGATGTTTACAGCTCCAGGGAAGGCCCAGTGTGTGAGAGAGATTTGTGAGCCCTGTTGGAGATGGAAGTCCCACATGGACAGCTGCAGCATCAAAGAATCCCGGTGACCTAGATTCAGCTATAGATTGGGAACTTCTCTGGCCTGCCTCACCACCACTATGCCAGTGGCCTGCCTGCCGTTTTGTGGGCTGCCTGGCGAGCAGAGCTGACCCATTTCACCATGACAACCTGGGCTGTTCTACTAAAGACTGTGCACAAGAGAATGCTCACTGCTGGCATTTAAAGGTTTCAAAATTAAGTTTACTCAGAGTTTTTAAAAAACACATTTAGAAGACTGCTAAAGCTGACATTCTTTGACAGTGGTGGAAGAGATGGAAAAAAGTAGAAAAGTTGCTATTGGACTTTTCCATTTTCTATCCTATCAGCAAAAGTATGCATTTTATGTTTTGCTCAGTCAATAGCATTGTAATAAATATGTTTCTAATAAAGTGAACAGATAAGCAGCGAATAAGTAGGTGAAAGGCTAAGGGATTAACGTCAACATCTATGTACATATGTATTCTGGTCTATGAAAACAAAATATATCGAATCAAATAATTTAAAATCTCCTGATAAATGAATGGAAGTGTTTAAAAGTGGATTGATTGCAGCCTTGGCTCAACCTTGAACTGTACAGAATGGTGTTTCATTGGAGAACTAAAATAGTATGCCCCTTGGGGAGAAAATGGGTCTGTGTGGTGGTAAAGGCGTTTCATTTAGTAAATGCAATTTAGGAAAATCAGGGCCTGGAATGTGTGTGTGATCACATTTAAATGCAACCTCTGCCTTTTGGGCAAAAACCATAGCACCAAATTGAAAGTACTTGCAGGTATTTGCATTGATTCATGCACCATCCTCAGCCCTGCTTCTGTTGTTGCTGTTAAATTTGCTCAGGAGGTTAAAGCTTAAAAGTTCCTAAATAATCCTCTTTATTTCCTACACAGAGAGACAAAGTAAAGCCAGGCTAGAGAACTGCTCCATGGGAGGCAGAGCCTGTTCCCAGGGGCAGATCCTATTCCTGAACCATGAAGAGCTTTCCCTGGGGATATTGGAATCACATACCATCTTGAAGTAGAAGAGTCAGAATAGGATTCAACACTTGGTATCAGAGGAAGCAGTCAAATGACATTTAGAAAAACATGGAAATAACACTACAGCATATATATGCATATATGTATATGCACATACATATATACATATATACAAATACATGTATATAAACATATGTGTATATATACACATGTATATATATATATACACATATGTATACACATACATATATATAGTAAAAAATTGCCCATTCATTCCCATTGTCATAGATAGTTTAAAACTCTATTTTATAGTCTCTCTTACTGAAGCATTTTTCTTTAATGCCTAAAAAGGCTTCCTTTCCTCCTGCAAGGGCTCAGCTTCCTATCCAGATCCTTCCTGTCTCAAAGTTTTCCAGGAGCAATGTCAACTCTTTGTGAAAGAACTGACTTCCTTTTGACAAAGCATCAGACTATTTGCAACTGTGTGTGCCTGTCACTCTTCACCCCAAGGTCAACTGTCAGTGAAGGTTTATTAGGTTAATTAAGCACCTCATTCATTGCTGCAGACTATATCAGTTATTAGAAAACAATTTTCATTTGTAAACAATAGAAGCGATGGAAACAATCATTCAATTCTCAAGGACAAATAAGATGAAAATTAATTATTTAATACACCAGGAAGTTAGCAATAGTTTTTCATGGCTCAAAAAAGAACCATACCTACTAGCTTGACTGTCTGCTTGCCATTCAAATTTTAAATAATTTAAAATTAAGTGTGTCCTCATTTGAATGATAAATTACGTGGTCTTCCTGCTAATATTTTCAGGGCTCAAAATATCTTACTTCAGGGTCTTTCTATTAATTAGTTAGCTGTATATGACTCTGGTTTAATCAGCAAGTTGGTTTTCTTTAAGAGTCCAAGGTCACCACTCTTAGCAGAAGTTGCACCACGTTCCCTTGTACAGATCACGGATGGATTTGGATTAATCATGAGTATCCAGGAATGACCATAGTCAAAAGTTTACATTGGTGTCTCATCTCTATCTCTCCTGAATAACTTTCTCTGCTCATCTCTCCTCAGTCATGTGCTTTCTTCTAAATGTATCTTCCCCAACCCCACTACTCTCTTGGTCCCTCCTGTTCCTTTTTCAAAACTTTAATCTCCCAGCACTGAAAATACACATGGTGAAGAGCTTTCAAAGCTTATTTTTCTGGAGGGTTATTTGCAATTTTAAAAGAAGCAAAGACTTGAAAGAGAGAAAAAGTTTCCTTGGTGGAATTTCTGGCATTCACCCTTAAAATCACAACATGCAGACAGCCTTTTCACTGACTCTCATATCTAAGTCATCAAAGTCAGTGAAGCCAAGAGACACCAGGTGATCAACAGGACTCTCCAGTATAAATGATCTGAAACATACGGTAATAAAACAGCATTTGATTTCAAATGATTTTCATTCCTTGGGCTATGAAGCTATGTTATATGCTCCAAAAAAATGACATTTATGAGAAAGCACACATAGATCCAGAATGCTCTATCATTTCATATTTGGAAGACAGAAAATATTTGAGATCTTGTTAATTTTAGGTCTTTTGATATAAAGGAGCAATATATGCATGGCATATTTAAGTCACTTCCTTAATTACCTTGCCATACCACTGGCAATGTAATTGCATGGTGGTTACTTTTTATCATGTGAGAAATAGAGCCTTATGCTATCGATAAATTCTGGTAGAGTATTTTTCATAGAAAATTAGAAAAAGTATAGTAGAGTGTATTTTGTTTTATCAGTCAAAGTCTTATGGTTGTGACCTTACCTCCTTCCCTTTTCACTCATGGATTTATTAACTTTCATGATTTACTTTGCCATGCTATTTAAGAACGAGTGTAAACATTATCTTTGTAAATGCTTTCAGAATATCTGCACAGTACTCATGGAATTCATTATCCAGACATGCACTAGCTTGTGGACTGAATCATCTCTGTGGATTGACCTTGGGCTCATCATTGCTTTAACTGCAGGGCATTTGATGATGCAAATGGCCAGCTCATCACTGAAATACTGGAGCATCTGTCAATGGTAAAGATTCATTTGTCTTAAGCTTATAAATATATGAAATAAAACAAAGTAAAAATTACTACAAATTGGAGGAATTACAATATTCTTAGAAATTATTTTAGAAAAGTTGAACTTTTAACATTAAAAATGATTAAAGTGTGAATTTTTTAAAAAAGGAAAAACAGATTCATTTGTCTTACTGCAAAATCATGGCATTTGGTTCAAATATTTAGTGGAATTAGGTTGAAATATTTAGTCCAGTGCAGGTAGGAGACTTATGACTCTCTGGCCCTCATACAGTGTTGTCATCTTCTACCTGGAATTTCCTAAGAAATATTTCATAGCACGTACATTCATATTTCATGTTAGTCTTATTCATATGGTATTTATTTACTTATGAGTTTCTACTCTTTTTTTTTTTTTAAAGATTTATTTACTAATTTATACAAGACTGGAGTACAGGCCAGATGTGCGGGAGGGTGAGAGGATCTACCAGAGACAGAGCAGGGAACAGAACAGGCAGACTGACGAAATACACTGCTGAGGGAAGCAGCAGGCAAGACAGGAGAGGTCTGCTGCACCATGTGGGATTCTTGCCAGCCGGCTGGGATTGAACCTGCACTGCAGAGGCTGTGGACAGTTTCACAGTGTGGTACTCAACCACCTGCGCCACCAGGGAGGTCCCTCTACTCTTTTAAAAGTATGATTCTGCTTCTGTTTTTATCTTCTAGCTCTGTTTTAATTTTTTTTTTTTTTTTTTTTTTTATAGAGGCATGCTTTATTTATTTGTTTGCTGGTTTGTTTGTTTTGTTTATACATGCACTGGGTACAGTCAGAAGCGCGGGAGGGTGAGAGAATTCACCAGAGCCAGAGCGGGGAGCAAAGCAGGCAGAAGGACCGAAGTACACTGCTGAGGGGAGCAGCGGGCGGCAGGAGAGGTCTGCGCGCCATGTGGGACCCTCCTCCGGTGGCCGGGGAGCAGCCGGGGATCGAACCGGCGCCGCAGAGGCCGCGGGCAGCTTCGCAACCCAGCGCTCAACCGCTGCGCCACCGGGGAGGCCCTCTGTTTTAATTTTTATTCATTTTATTAGTTAATTCAGTCAGTGACTATTCAATCAATAGCATCTTCCATCTCCAAAAAGGCATTGTGCTAGATACTGTGTGTGTGTGTGAGAATGAATTCTTGTAAACTTACATAGAATATTCCAGGCAATGATGACAGACCACATGATGCATGTGCTCCAGAAATCTAATTGGAAAGTATTCTGGGAATATTGTTTGGATCTGAAGGGTAGACTTCCTTTTGATAAAAGATTGGAGGTCAGTGCTGGACTATGAAGTTACTGCAGAAGCAATAGCTTGGAGGCAGGAGCTTATGAACAGAAAATAATCTAACACAAGTTCCATTTAAAATTCAACCTTGAAGAGGAGTAGGGCTGGGGACAAGAAGAATAACTAGGAGCCAGATTTTTAGGCTCCATGCTTTGGTCTAAATTCCACAGACGGTGAAGAGACAAAGATTCTAAGTAGGAGCTTGGAACTTTGATGTGCTTTAAGAAAATGATTAAGGGCGATCTATGAGATGAATCACAAGAAGGAGGAAGGTCATTTGGGAAATTACTGAAACACTAGGTGTGGTTTGATAAGTGTTGGAATGGAAATGGAAGAAGTGTGAACAAAAGGGAGAGACGATATGCAATGTGGGTGTATTATTTCATTTCCCCAGAGAATTGAGTTTGTGTTGATTAGTGAAGCAATAAAAACAGTTTTGCTTCTGCTAAGCCTTCCAAAAAGGTAGCAATGTATTCTGCAGAGATTGTGCCTGTGATTTTATCAATATTATGAAATGGATTCAGTCAGACTTATATCAAAAGATAGTGATTTTCCTCTTCTTAAGTCCAGCATGCTTCTTTTTCCAGCCCTCCATGCCCTGTACTCTGTAGGTACAGGGGCCTTGTGGAAATTCCCTCACTTGTCCCCTGAGACTGATACAACATTTCTGATCTTTAGATGTGAAAACTGTAACACAGAAAGTTTTGGTGTACAAGGTGACAAAAGCAGCATTCCCATTAGAGCAATTTTCTTTAGCAAGAGACAGGTCAAGATAGCTTTAGGTGACAGTTCTTTACCAGTGAAGTAATTTGATGAGGCCAAACTTTTGATGAAATAGGCTAATGGGAAATAATTAAGACTGAATATGTGTTTCTGGCTGGGGTTTGTCATCTAACAAGGAACTAACGTTAATTGCTGAAATGGGCATGGACAATTTAGGAAACTTAGGGACAACATTAGATAATTCTTGTGAATTATTTAGAATAATTTCTGTGTTCTTGTTCAAATTAAAAGGAAAAAAAACTAATCCTGTACTTTGTGTTGAGCATGTTAAGTCAGTTTGGTGGCCACTTAGCACTATCTATTTAAGGATAATCTCTGATTCATCAATGTGAAGAGAAAAAATTAAAAAAAAAATCACATAGAACATAAAGTTCAGTTGAATACAAATTTTAGTGCGATCACTGAATATATATCCCAGCAGATGACACCAGTAAGCAATAATTTAATTGAAGTAATTACTTTGAATATATACTGGCTATGCATTATGTACTTGTGTATCTATTTTGGAATATGGAACTTCTAATTTTGTGTATATGTATGTTATATTATGAGATAGGAACAGGGAGAGCAAAGAAAAATAAGAGTTTTATCTGAACACAGAGTTTTCTGAGTATTTGTACTAAAACCATTTTTCCTCAAATTACTTAAAAGACCACTCTTTAAAGATCTGCTCTTTAGGTGTTTAAAAGAAATCATCCTTTAAAGGATCTGATTTTATCACTCAGTTTTGTTTGTACAGATTTGCCCAAGAAACCCGGACTCATGTGCCATGATTTACTCTCCTATCACAAACAACAGAATTACTGGACTTTGAAAGCTGACATGGGGGAAGGAGGAAAAAAAGGAAATGCTTATACCTTCTCATTTTGACATGGCTCCTTCAGAAATCTGATACTAAATATCTTCCTGCATCTGGAGGAGTGAAGAAAGAGAACATACAGGCATTATGTACATAATGTTGAAATAAAACCCTCTATTGTCCACCAAGACAATAGAACTAGTCTATAATAATGCAGTAGAAGTAGAGCATAAACTACACACGCCAGCAATGCAATCTTTGTTCCAGTGTAATCTTCCATATCAACTATTGACAAGCCAAGAGGTAAGAGAAAGGCCTTTCTCCAGTTTCCCATAACTTGCCACCACTTCTCTCTCTCTCTGTGCTGTGTAGGAAGCCGTGTAATAAGGTTCCCCTTTGAGATGGCTAAACATGTTTGACAACATCAGAGCTGTCCTAAATCTTGGCCAAAGTCTGAAACTAGGCTCAAATTGTTCGTATGAGTAAAGAAAACAAGTTAGCTTCATTGTCTGCTTCAAAGTTCACAGGAAGTGTTTATTTTGGTGGGAAGAGGAATAGAACTGCAAAGTAAGATGTGGGTTGCTCACAATCAAAACGCTATTTGAGAAGATATCATTTTCACTTCTATCTAAAAAAGATAATATCTTTTTATGAGAGTAGGAGGTGAATACACAAGCCATTAATAAAACAAAGGACAATATTTAAGAACACTGGGACAGAGATGGAGGACTCTGAAAGCACCCAGAACCAACTGTCACTGGCAGGCACACTCCCTGGGCCTCCTCATGGTGTCCTGACAGTGTGGGGACAACTGTGGTCGGCAGGCTGTCGTCTACAAGGAGCTTACTGTCACAGCCACTGTTCTTCCCAAACTCACAGGTAGGATAAAACCCTCAGCTTGGGTTTTTTTCCTGAGTCTCGTCAGATCTGAGTCTCTAAGATTGCTCGAGTTTGTCTGTAATTCATCTTGTTGAACCTTATGACTTTGGGTTATACACAAGAGTCAAAAACAATTAACTCACCAAACATGTCATGCCTTCTGCCACCATAAAATTAATCTTTTGTTTGTGAGAAAATTCAGTCTGGTTAAAATATTTTATGAATTGGAGAAATTAGTCTGTAATGATAAAGAGAAGGCTGTTAAGAATTGCAGAAGCCATCACAACAGCACAATTACATAGTTTTAAAAATTGAAAGAGTTCCTGGAGGAGAATTTTTATGCTGCCATCTTTGCTTTATTAGAGAGCAGAAGAGAAAGAACAGCTCACAGAGTTCATAGCTCCTGATACCTTACCCTTCTCACACTGGGAAAGGCCAGTTCCACATCTTTTTGATGATTTTGGTACATAGAGATGTTCAGTCATACTTAAGACCTGTATTTGGTGTAGGAGATATGCAAGTGAACAAAAACAAAGACCCTGAGCTCACAAAAGCTATAACCTATACAGGAGGTACACAATAGGTGCATAAATATTTGCGGGCAGAAAATGTTAGGAAGGGGGAGTGAGACCCTGGTGAAATAGAGAAAAAATTGTAGAGTAGCTTTTTAATATAGCACTATCAGGAAGACCTCTTTATTCAGGAATTGTTTAGCAGAAACTTGAATGCTATGAGGGAATATAATAGGTAGATTAACTGGGAACAATTGACTATAGGCAGAATAAACAAGTGCAAAGGCTCTGGGGCAGCTGTGTGTCTAGTATTTTTATAGCTTTGAGGCTAGTGTGTCTAAATGAGAGAAAGAAGAGACAGGGAAGAGACGATGGTGTCATAGAGGTCAAGAGGGTGGTGAGTAGATAGATCATGGATCTTTCAGGCGTTGTTAAAGAGCTTTAATTTTATTCTGAATGAGATATGTGATATTTTCAGTGTTGGAAAGGGAGCTGCAAGGAAAGCGATCAAAGAGAAAATAGTCTTATATTGCACCAAGAAAGTTTAGGTGAATATGCAAATAAATGCTTGGTGAGTGAATTAGAGGTGCAAAATAATGTTTGAATTTTGAGGTATTTAATCATTGGAAAAGTTTATCAAAGAGTAATAATAAGCCTCATTCCCTAGAGATACTTAGGAAATATAAAGTTATTTGATAAAAATTACCACCTAGGTAAAAAGGATCAATGCACTTTTCTCCCCCACCATTTAAACTAATCCAATTTGATTAATCTTGTAATCAAACTGATTCAGTAATTCAAATCACCAGGAAAACTGGAATATATTTAGTTCTTCAGCCTATTGTCTTCCACCAGTAGTTCCCTTCAGAAGAAGTCTTCATTTGACAGTGGTTTTAGAAATGTAGTCCATGAAAAATTTTACTAGAACTTTAGTTTTTTTTTTTTTTTAAGATTTATTTATTCATGCATACAAGAACTGGGGTACAGGCCAGATGTGCAGGAGGGGAGAGGCTTCACCAGAGACAGAGAGAGGAACAGAACAGACAGACTGACTGAAATACACTGCTGAGGGGAGCAGTGGGCAAGACAGGAGAGGTCTGCCATACCATGTGGGTATCCCTGCGGCTGGCTGGGATCGAACCCATGCTGCAGAGGCTGCAGACAGCTTCACAGTGCTGCGCTCAACTGCCTGAGGAACCAGGGAGGCCCTGTTTTTTTTTTTTTTTTAAAGATTTATTTATGCATACAAGAACCAGGGTACAGGCCAGAGGTAAGGGTGGTGAGAGGATCACCAGAGACAGAGTGGGGAACAGAACAGGCAGACTGACTTAAAAACATTGCTAAGAGGAGCTGCTGGGCAAAGCAGGAGAGGTCTGCTGTGCCATGTGGGTAGCTCTCTGGCCAGGGATCGAACTTTTGCTGCAGTGGCTGCAGATAGCTTCATAGTGCTGAGACGCAACCCCTTGCACCACCAGGGAGGCCCTTTTCAGTTTTTCTGTAAAAAAAAAAATATTGATAGGACACCACCAGTGGCTAATAAGCCATGAAAGCAACTTGGGACAATGTTTATTTTCAAACTGATATTTAAAAAATATTAGCCCAATATTCAGTGAGAATGCCAAGAAATGGGCTGTCTTTTTAAAAAGATTATATGCAGGCCAAGTTCTTATTATCTCGTAGCACCCAATAAAAACATTCTGTTGGAAAAATTTAGTGAAACTTCTATTCTTTCATAGTTCTTTTTTTGCTGCTTTTTTCTGGGCTTTTCCAATGTCTCAATTTGTTGATGTTTAAAATTTAGATAATAAAACAAAGCATTGTTAAGAAGAGTATTGTCTAAACACTGTCAGAATTCATCTAGTGACATGCGTTTCCTCGATGACCACCATGCTATTTTCACAAAATTCTTAATCGCATAGGTTTGTCCTAGTACATTCCTTCTCCCTTCTCAAGGTCACTGGAAAGGGAGCAATCATTCTGATTCCTGTAACACTTTTGTGACTTTTATTGATTAAAGACAGCTAGTTGCCAAGCTGACTGGCCCCACCTTAATGTGACTCTGTGGTCATATGAATATCTTTGAACAATAAGGCCACATCACACTTGCCTGCAAACCATGTTGGGGACCTCTCAGGCCAGCTGAGACAGAGGGCGGGGTGGGCAGGGTGAAGGTATGGATCTCCTTCTCACACTCCTGCTCTTGCCCTTATCCCAGGCAGCGGTGAGAATACCCGGCACTTGACTTCCTGCTCCCGTGAATCATTGCTGGAGAGGCGTCTTTGATCCCTTGCAGAGCACCGTGTGTGCAAAAGTAAGGGATTACTACTTGTTTGTTGGTTTTGGTTTCTGTTAGCTTTAAATAACGATGATGGATGCTCTCGTGTGTTTTGAGAAACTGGATGAATTAGTTAGATGGTGTTTGCATTACCAACCAAGACTTTACAAAAGCTGTGTCCTCAGTCTCAGGACACTCACCCGTTTCTGTCACTGCAGGCAGAAGAATCATGTAGTCGTGCCAGTGCTGCTCTTCCTCTGCCTTCCCAGGACCCTCTGACAGCTGTCTTGTAAGCTTAAGTCTGCAAGAGTAGGGTCATTAGCACATATTTCTGCCAACGGCAAATCAAAGAATGAAGTCAGTCCTGGAAAGGGAAAGTGAAGAATGCCATTATTCTCCCCCACCCCCAACCCCCAGGAATTTCTGGTGGATCCCTAATCTAAATGAGACAAAGAACAGAACAGATAGAAATTCTCTGTTGTGATGCGATCTGGGGTGCTTGTGCAATCTTAAACTCTTCTTTTCCAGTTCTAAGCATTCTTTTTTATATGAACCATCCCAAGCCTCCTGCTCCCCAAGTCTGCTGTTACACACTCAGTTCACACAAACAGAACTGAATAGAATTTATACTACCCATACAGCTTATTTTTGGTGTCTGTGAAGTTTTGGATAAGATGAGGTGGAAGAGCAATGCCAAGACATAATACCAGTTTTTGTAGTATTAAGATGTTAAAAAATGCCAGTCCACATATCAGTGGTCATTGGGGCTAAAGATAATAGACATTTGGGAGCAGAGATATAATATCTGATATGCAGAAAAGAATTTACAAAGAGGATGGGGAGAGGCTGTATACATCTCCAGTGGAGACACACTGGTGGAGGGTAGTCCACTTGTGTAGTTAAAAGTAGGGTTGCTGGTTTCATTCATACTTGAACTTGGATGTGAAAAGTGCTCCTTTAGGGTCTGCCTTCAGGAAAGCCTTCACGCCTGTAAGAACACAGTAAACACAGACTCTGATGGGACTCTGACTGATTGGTAACTCTTCTGCAACATGCCCCTGACTCTGTAAATGCAGACACGCAGCCGAGTCCCCAGCCCCCATAATCCATGCCACCAGGGGAGATGGCCCACTCTGGAACTGGAATCCCACCTTCCTAAGAGCAGTACCTGAGAAGTAAATTAGCACAGCGTATTCTCAGCCTCACCAGCATAGGTTCCCTATGGGTGCACCAGCCATTCTTTCCCAAGCAGATGAAACTGGAGCCTTTCATTTCATAATACTAATCACCGAACCAACAGGCTCTCTTATGCTAACATCTGTGTGAGGCTACAGCTCACATCAGACTCCTGCCTGTCTGCCTGTTCTCACTGATTACAGCTGCATCTCAGTACTCCCAGGCTGCCCTGGGGCCTATGCCATGTTCCACAGAGGCTTGGACTCAGAGCTTTCCTTTCCCGCCAGGGTCCAGCCACCCCCATGGTGCGCAGTCCATGAGCTGCTTTGGCAGCTGCAGAGACCCTTTCAGTGGTCTCCATAGCATTTGCCTGGATTCCGGAGCTTTCCACCCCTGAGGGTGCCTCTTTAATCCTCTGGGAGAAACGACTGCCTGAGAATAACTCAGTGTGCCTTAAGTTTCTTCTTGCCTGGTATGGCCAGCTCATGAAGCAGTTCACACACACTGGTGCCAGATTTATAAAGTGCGAATTGCATTCTGCTCTTGGTTTTCTCTGCCCAACTCCTACCATTTCCCTACTGTAGCTTCTCTTAAAACACAACCACGTTTCCCTTCTAAAACCCCTAGTAAATCCTGCCAGATTAACAAATGGAGGGAAAACACCCATTCCTCATACATTTTCATATATAGGCTATAAACACTCCCTATTCTCTGGGCTCCTCCTCACAGTGCTCCTATGGGGCCAAAGTAGTGAGTTTACTTCAGGTTTTACAAGAGGAAAAACAGAGATCATTCTTTTTCATCCCCACTGCCAAAAATCCAAACCAATCCAAAACAAACCAAAACAAAGCAAAAAATCCAAAATGGAGTTGAAAATGAAGTCAAAGGGGGCAGAGACCTTCTGTCTTTCAGCTCAACACTTAGTGATTTACTTGATTCCTCTTCCTTGAGTCCATCCCTCAAATCTCATAGGCACAGACTTATTACCCCATTAGGATTTGACTGGGAGGCTGAAGCAACAATGAGAACATAGAAGAATCTGGTTAAGCTGCCAGAGTTAACAACTTCATATGTGCAACAAAACCAGACAACATTTCTGATGGACTATATTTTTACTGCATTTAAATGGCCTTGGAAAGCTTCTGTGGCTGCTGATTTCAAATAAGAATACTTCTGGAGAGAAGTGGGGCAAAGATGTGTTTTTTGGGCTCATCGTTGATATTTGTGGGGCTTAGTGTAATCGTACAAATGGAGAGCCACACATCATATGCTGAATACTTAAAAATTGTGATTCAAGCTTAAAAACACTTACATAAAATATGTTCTATCCTACCTCCCTAACAAACATTTTTGTTTATAATTCATTGCTGGGTTCAAATTTAGTGTTCTCTGCCTTTCCTAGTTCCATTTTGGATAATGATGGCTGGAGAGAGCTGGCCTTTCCCTGCCCTTAGTTCTAGGCCCACCCCCTTCTCATATCCCAACTTTGTCCTGCAATGTATGAGGCCCCCCTCACATTCATGTGTCTAAGCTCTATGGACACTCCTTCCAACTGCCAGCCCCTATACCCTGAGGCTCGACTAGAAGTATACCCAGGAAAGTCCCAGGAAAAAGTCTCGAAAGTCCTGGAAATAGACTTTGACTGGTTGGAAAGGGAATTTCAGGATCCTGAGAATCCAAAACATGGTTGAAGGTGTATGTGTGGAAACATTCCTCTGCACCCATAAAGTCATCTTTCCCTGAAGAGACACATACTGAAAGAAGATGAGGCTGGGCCTCGAAGACGAAGGATACAGAGCAGTGGGTCTTCTTGCTCTGATTTATGGACAGTGTATAAAGTTGGTCCTTTAGAAGAACTTATCTCACTTGGAAAATGGACACTTACTACAGTGTTTGCAGATGGAGTTTCAATGGGGCAAGATACTTTGTTTCATATGCAAAATGAGACTAGATGTTTAGCTGTAGTAGTTCTCAATTCCAGGTTGTAGTGACATTACTTGGGGAAGACACTTCATGACCCCATACAAGGAGACTCTAATTTATTAATTTAAGGTGAGGACAATACACAGATTTGCTTGCAAAACTCCCCATGTGTTGGGAGTTTTGAGCCAGAATTGAGACCCTTTTGGTTCTGCCTAACACTTTTGTTTTTTGTACCCCCGGACATTAGCTCCTGTGCCTATCCCCAAGAATCCCAAACCAACATGACCCAAGAGAGTTTCAGCTCCAGAATGACAGGACCTGTACAATAAGCCAATACTGACTCTGTTTTGGGAGCAGTAAGATTGGTCTGAATAGATTATACCAGTGATAGGCAAGACTCTTATCAGTTATCTCCACACAGAGTGAAATTTAAAGTACTGAACATTTAATAACCACTGCAGCAATAAATCCAAATAAACTTTGGCATACTGGTCAGCCTTACCATTGTTTGAGGGATGAATCTAGTTAGTTCTCCCAGAAATCCCTTAGGATGGATATTACTGTGTATATTTTATTAGGTGACTCTCAAGATGGTGGTGAATCTGGGTGTCAAATTTTGTTTTTAGATTTTAAATCCTCAATTCTGTCAACTACACCAGACAGCTTTTCATAGCACTTCTGGTTAGCACAAAAACACATTCTTTACCCTCTAATATTGGTGTAAGCCAGAGAACTTAAAGGAAGATATATTACCAGCCTCATAAAAAAAAAATGCTACTTTCAAAATAGATCACCTAGTTTAAATCTAAGAAACACAGAAGGGAAATTTGACAGTTCAAAGTCTATTTGAATGGCTTTTTTTTTTTCTGAGACTAAGAATCAGCTTTTTAATTCTGAGTTTTAGGCATAATTCTGACACATACTCAGAACTGTGCTTCTCTTTAATGACTGATCACATTCAAGTCCTGCAAATGTGAGATCTATTATCTTAAGGTTGTAGCTATCATATGACCAACGCAAGTATAAGAATTTACAACTTAAACTATGATGGTACATGATACTTCAGAATCAGGAAATCACAATATCTAGATGCCCATTTACTTTACCTCTGTTTCTGGGAAAGTTTAAACCATTCCAGAGACAAAACTCCTGTACTTGGAATACATTTTTTCAGTCTGTTTAGCAGACAAAGCCCAAGGCCTATCTTGTGGTAAAGTGATTCAATACAAATTTCTCTCCTAAGCAGGACAGATACAGGTCTGAGGAATAGGATTTTATACAGTTTGGGAGGTTCTCTTCAAGACAAAGAATACGAAATTAGTTATAAAAGCAAATATTTGGAATGAGAGAAATCAATCACAACAAGCTAGTGGAAACTTGGAGATACAAGTCTCTTTCCTCTAAGACCCTAGTGGGCAGTTTTCCAGACCTGTGTGCATAGAATGCTTTCTGGTTACAGCCTGTCTTTCTCACCACCTCAGAAGCTCCACAGAACCCAGAAGATTCCAGCGTACTCTGAGCCCCGTAAATAGGTCTCTGCTCTTCTGAAAATATATATGGATATTATTTATTTGCTGGTTTATCTATTTATGTGCCTCATTATTCCAGAAGGATTGAATCAGAGAATCTTACTCTTTATACTCTAGAAGTTCTGCACATTCTGTTCCTTTGCCTTACCTTCACTGTTTCTTACTTTTCCTGTCCCAACTGCACTTGTGACTTGAAAAAAATCTTTTTTGTCTTTATTATGTTTCTGGAGGCTACTAGATCAGTAATTCTCAACTAGGGGCAATTTTATTCCTTACGGGACATTTGGTAATGTCTGGAGACACTGATTTTTACAGCTGGGGTGGGAATGGATATTTGTGGGTCTGCTAGACTTTGTTTGGCCACCATTCTTTGCTACCTGCAGTTCTGCATTCCTATACAAAGTTAGA